TGTGACGAAGTTTGTAAAGGGAAAAGACTTTGTGGGCCTATTATTATATTCTTTGAATTCCTAATCAGTTACAAATTATTTATCATTTAATGATTAACGTGTCGTTGCCCTGTCCTTTTTATGTTTGGGGTCCGCCTGGGCTCTTTGCCATTGGTTCTTGTTGCTGGGTCATATGGGGGTTGCGTTCATTGAACGCCGCTTTTCCTTGTTGATTTTGTTTTTCATATTTTGTGCATTATTTTAGGCAAAATGCTGCACCTGCAGAGAACCATCGACATTTTGAAACTAGCTTGATAGGTTTTCCACATGAAAGAATAATAAGTCCCTGGTGGTTTTCGAATTCATAGCAGTTCAGTTCAAGTGATTTGAATTCAGTAAACATGAACAGCTCGGCCTCGGTCGGACACACCTGTCTGATTTGTTTTTTCAACAAAATTTGTCAGCTGTACAGATAAGCAGCTTTTTATTAACTTCTGGCGTGAAGTTTTAAGATAATAAATATTTGATTTAGTTATTATTAATTCAATGATGAAGGTCTTGAAAGACCGAAACCGGTAGATCCTAGAATAAACCAGTTACAAACCATCCTGATGTTTGATGTGTATTCTCTCTTTCTGTTGATTTACTTGTTTAATTAAAAAAAGAATAACATTTAAATTTCTTATTTCGGTATGACTAACAGAGAAATTTTCAATGTAAACAGGGGGTAATCCTCTGTGAAGTCATTTTCTGAAAAAAATGTGTTTAATTTTTCAGACAATTCATTATCAAATAAAAATCACACTTTAGTATGAAGGTATGTTAAGATGTCATGTCTGTAGTCTTTTGAAAATTCGGTGCAATAATCTGACCTAAATTTTCTGTTCAATATTGTTAAAACTTCTTCACTACTGTTGAAAGATCATGACTCCCTTTATCTGTATTAAATTTATCGATGCACAGATTAAAATACCTTTGCAAAACGGACACCTTCTTTACAAAATAATTTGCAGTTGTGTCATATGTGACTCGATTTTGAAAATTGAATGTTTTTTGATGGAGAAGAATGATACTTAAGTGCAAATATATAAAATACATTCCGTAGACCTTTCCCAACGGCGATAAAGAAATGCAATATACTACAAAATCAGCGGTAAAGTTCTCGGCGCTGAACATAAAATGACTAAATGGAACGCATAACCTACTTGCAAAAATATATTGTAGCTTAACCATTTATGATTTAATTTTAAAAAATCAAATTTCAGTTTCAAATAATAAATATCATCTGTCCTCACCGATTATTAAGAAAATGAATACAAAAAAATCGGCACGTAAAGGACATAAGTAATAACGATATTGAAGGAAATCATTACTAATTACAAGTAACAAAGGTAGGCATGAAATCTGCGCATAGCTCTCTCCCGATAGCGAGAGACCTAATTCTTTCTCTTTTTTTAAAAAAAAGGGTCATTTCTGATTAATACAGGGCCCAGGAGAGGTTACACTAGAATATTGAATTTTGTATCAAAAATAGTAATCACTCCCATTTCGAACTCATGGGAACAAGTTTATAAGCATGCTAAGGCAACACTAGAACACTTTGTCATATGGGTGTGCGATCACGTGTTTCAATGTATATTGCATTTGATACAGCTTTTCAGAATTTGTAGATGCTTATGATAGGTAATAAAATGCGACCGAAAAATGCAGACTTAATAGAATTGTATTACATTTCCATTTTCATGAAACCAATGAGTGACCTCTGCTTTTGACTTTAGTCGTAAACAAGAAATGTTGTTGGACGTTATAATATTAGCATACCTAGCACATAATTTAAATAGTTTAACCAATATGCAACCTGCAATGAAAATACAACTGCGTCGTATCATATTTTAATTTCAACTGCGTCGTATCATTTCGTAAAAATCATTATTTTCTTGAAAAATAAACATCTCTTTTTAATGAAAGTTTAGTAAATGATCCAAAATTATGTTTTAAAGTTTATGGTGAACTTTGAAAAGGAATATACAATTGGTTGGAAGGGAAAAAACGACAAATAAAGCAATATGAAATGCGTCGTATCCACACATTTTCATAAAAATTCTGCCCGCTTCGTGTTGCAAGTTCGCTATAACTTTTGTTTTACAAAAAAGTTGTGCAAGCAACATATACCGAACGAATCGGAAAATAATGTGTGTAGCGTGTTAATACATATATTTGGTTTTCAGTCATTTCAAACAAAAACAGTTATAAACAAAAACATACATTTTTCGCTCAAAGATGGCGGTGTTTGTTTACATTTTGTAGGATACAACGCAGTTTTGATTCCAAGCCCTGAGAATCCAAGGTCAAATCTAAGCATTACTATGATAAAAATGCTAAACCTCTGTCTCCCCGTTGGAGATTCCGCTAGAATTCAACGTCTAGACAAGTTCTGGAGTCCAGTCCCGATGTTGTAATAAAAAATCACAGCGATAGGTCCTATATTGTTGAAACAGAAAACGGACAACAATATCTCAGAAATTGTAAAGATTTGTTGAAATCTATAGGATCGCCTTTATTGACACATGGTGCTTTGAATTCTGGCCTTGAAATGTCAGTTAATGACAAAATGATTGACGTAGGGTCAGAGCGTACCGATAACAATAAACAGCCTGTGGGGATAATGCTAATTATTTCACTCGCGCAGGCAGAAAGGTGAAGCCACGTGCTGTAACAGACTTGTAAATAGACAGTGATTGTATGTAATGAAGAAATTTACAGTATGAATCATGATTAGTACATGTTGTAAACGACTCATGATAATGAACATTTATTAACTACATGTTACTGTAATCATCATCTAATATAAAGTTTTTCTTCCTTGAATTTATTTAAGCGTTATTCAAATAATCTATGCGGTTATACTTATGATAAAATTATGTTTAAATATAACAGTAATTTTGTAAAAGATGGAAGATGTATCATGATGAGTAAACTGTACATAACATGATACTCTAGGTGCGTACAGCTCCTTTATAATAGAGAGTTCCCTAGATCATATATATACTACCATCACGGACACTGATATGTAAACACATGTATCATATATTATAGTTTAGATAATACACGTAGTTAGAGCACATATATATATTTATGTCGTTCATAAACCCATGACGTAAGAAAAGCTGTCCGTAAAAAGGACATACTTAAAAAATGATATTCATTTTCTTTACTTTTCATATTGACATTTAATAGACCAAAAATTTACATTTGATAATAAATGAGGAAACTTCAGCATCGTTACATACAAAATAAGCTTAGTTTGGCCAACATTCCTACGGTATAAAATAATAATAACAACAACAAAAATTAAATAATGAATTACAGCACAAAAAATGTATAGTTGGCATCTGGAGCATTAGTTTTCATATTGAACCTTGATTCTTAAGTCTATTTACATGGATTGTAGGCAGCATACAGAGCTTTGGATTTATTCACATACTTTTTGTTGCTTAATTTGGATCTCGTGTTTAACAAAAGCTGTTTTGTGTGCAAGTTTGGATAAACCAATATCTATCTAAATAGATATATTGTATTGAAAAAATAATAAAATATTCAAGGGAACAAACTGGTAGACCTTGCACTGCAACATAGTATTTCAGAATTATGAGAAAAAATACAGTTGTCCTTAATCTAAGGGAAACAACTCAATTTATCGTGAATATGCCGTGAGTACGGATTTGCTTCCCTTTCATAATAAACCGATGTTTAGGGGGCGATTACATGTACGCCGTACCAACACTGTATAGGTCATATGGCGAATTTCCATCTTTGAAGGAAGACCTCAGGTGCCCCTCATAGTATTAATCAAAGCATAAGCGGGCACCTGAGTAGAGTCATCGAAGTCCCTTAACATCTGGATAGCTAGTCCACATGAAAGAGTCCAAGGTCTCTAACACAGAGGTTTGAAGTCATCGACCTTAACCACTCTGTCTCTGTCATTCTGTCTCGCAATGAAAACAACAACAACATATACATTTTAAAGTGGCATTGCATTCCGTCAACGCAATAAGGAAAAATGCCAAAATGCACTGGTAAATTTATTTAAGAAAAATATATATAATGTTAGCATTGATGGTTTATTCAGACGTATATGAAGTGTTTGAATTGCTAAAAGTTGTTCTTTTTGTTTCTAGATAAAACTGATTATTATTGGGCTATACAGTGCCAACTCTGGTCAAAGAATGTATATGGTGGAATTTGAAATCTAGAAACCATCATGAATCATGCATCAACGCTGTTTTTCTTTGCTGAACTTAATTTCTAGGTGAAAATGACGCCGGCCGTGATTGAATTCGCTGCATAATTCGGAAAAGCCGTCATAGTTTCTTCATCGGATCAACATAATTTTCAAATCGTCATTATTTCAAGACCGGAAGGATATATTTAAAAAGTGTATTTTAAAAGTTACACCTCATCCAACGTTTATATGAAAAAGTATTAACGGTAAAAGTATGTTGATTCCATTATTTTGTTTTGAACAGTAAAGACAACACAATTTTGAAGCAGATAGGAATAAAAGGGCAATTTTATTTTGAAATACAAATGAATTGTTAAAAAACATAGAGATGTACATGTATCCGTTTCATTTTCTTTTAAAAGTTTATTGAAAAAATGTTGATTAAGATCAAAATGATTTAGAATGAACATTAATTGATGTTTATTTCTAGAACATAATAATATCTGTTATATAAGTATATGTAATATCCGAGCATGTACGTATTTCACACAAGTTTACCAACAACTTCCATATATTATTCTTTCGTGGTTTGCTAAATTGTTGTCTGATATAAAATAATTTAAACGTAATTATTTCAGACCTACCTCTATATACCACTGTATGAAGGTACAAACTGGCCTGGGTGCATACTAGTGGCAAAGTCTAATTAGTGATTTCAAAAGTCCTTGATGCGGAATTAAAGTGAAGTGACGAATTAACAAAAAAGCGAGTTGGCATGGGACGAATTGTCATTTATAAATGAGTGATTGCCCTTTGAAAGTAACCCGCCATTAAGTTGAGCTGACAAACGAAATAGTGTGGTAAGAAATTTTTTACTTAATTATTTCTTTACGTGATAATCTTTGTATATAGTGAACATAATTTTCCTGTCAATATACAAAAAGAAATTTGTTTCAACACTTCATTTAGTGTTGTATTAATGCGGTAGCATAGCATTTTTATAATCAGTGATAAATGCAATCTTTACAATTAAATCATCTTGCGGTAACTTTTTCATTTTCATTACGGAAATAATAAATAACAGGGTTTTTTTTTCAATTTTGGGGAAAAGGCCTGGCCTTTCAATTGGGGAAAAATGCGCGAAAAATGACATTTTTGGGAAAAATCTCTTACATTATGAAAATAAATAAATAACTGTAAAATAAACAATAAAAACATGGAGCAAACGTCAGGCTCCGACTCAGGTGGGTCATGAACAATGCAAACAGTTCAGATGTCAAAACCATCTTCTAAACCTTGGATTCCTTTTAAATACAAAGCCACTTTATTTAATTTGGAATCACTTGAGTTAATATCATTTTTGGGGTTTCGAAGCTTCAACATTGCTGTAACTTCTCACACACCTCCCTTATTTATTTTATTAATTTAACTCCATGTTCCTCAAGACTATGATTGAAATCTATAAGAATAAATAAGGGGATTTTTTTTCAGCTGGGGAAGTAGCCGTTAAACGGCTACAGTTATAAAGCAAAAAAACCCTGAATAATTCATATTTGGAAAATATTACGAGGGTGACTGGACAAACCTATATAAAAAGGAGTAAAATAACATTTTTCTTTTCTGTTTGAATAAAGTGCTGAATTAATTAGATGTTGATTCTCAAATGACATTTTGACACTCAATGCATAAAAATTAATTGATTATATTATGTTTGTAATTTATTTACTTAAACTAACTCATGAATTCCTTTCCGAATTCCAGACGAAAATCAAACAGGAAGTAGGTCGCGAAATTATGTGATACTAGATTATTTTGCCGATATTTGGTATTAATATAACTCCATGTTCCTCCAGACAATGATTGAAATCTATAAGAATAAATAATATAACATATTTTTACAAATTTCTGCATATTTTGAGTGGAATTTTCACAAAGACAGAATGATTAGAGATTTGATCAGCGTAAGGGAGAGGGTTGCCGATCGGCGGCATAATTGGACTTCTTATTTGCAGGACAATCAATCAAACACTGTAGGCCCCATAAAAATTTGAACTATTTGAACAAAAAATGTGATTTTTTAAACAAACAAGCTTAAATAGTTGATTTTATTCAGATCAAGGGGAATGTTTTAGCTCAAGGGGATTTTTTTTCAGCTGGGGAAGTAGCCGTTAAACGGCTACAGTTATAAAGCAAAAAAACCTGAATAATTCATATTTGGAAAATATTACGAGGGTGACTGGACAAACCTATATAAAAAGGAGGAAAATAACATTTTTCTTTAACATTCTTTTTAAAGATTTGTTTAAATCATTTATTTCTTTGCTTTTTAAAAAAGAAAAAAGTCATGCGTTGCCCTCTTCCGTCTATGTCACTTGGTAAGGTTTTTCATGATCTAAATCCAGTTATGCCTTCAGTGTATTTAATGTTTTGCTTTTTTTAGGACTTTATATGAGATTTTGATCTATCTCAAAACGAGTGCAAAATGCGCACTGGAGAAAAATTATTTACGTGCAAGTTGTGTGATATCAAATTCAGCAGGATGAGTAACCTAAATAGACACGTGAGACAACAACGTACCCGAGAAAAACAATTTCAATGTAACTTTTGTGATAGTACATTCACCAAAAAGGGTGGTCTAAATCGACACCTGACAATACATACTGGAGAAAAACCTTACAAATGTGATGTGTGTGATAGTTCATTCAGCCTGAAGTGTAATCAAAAGACACATATGAGAATACATACTGGAGAAAAGCCATTTAAATGTAATGAATGTTATGGTACATTCAATCAAAAATGGTCTCTGACAGAACACATGAAAATACATACAGGAGAAAAGCCATATACATGTGATATTTGTATTAGTGCTTTCATTTCAAAGAGTAATCTTAAGCGACACATGCAAATACATACCGGAGAAAAAACATTTAAATGTGACGAATGTTATAGCACATTTGGTCAAAAAATTCATCTGACAGAACATATGAGAAAACATATTGGAGAAAAACCATTTTTATGTTATGTATGTAATAATACTTTCATTTCAAAGAGTAATCTTGAGCGACACATGAGAATACATACAGGAGAAAACCCGTTTAAATGTGATGTATGTTATAATACTTTCATTTCAAAGAGTAATCTTAAGCGACACATGGTAATACATACAAGAGAAAAAACATTTTTATGTAATGTATGTAATAATACTTTTATCTCAAAGAGTAAACTTGAGCGACACATGCGAATGCATACTGGACAAAAACCATTTAAATGTAATGTATGTAATAATACTTTCATCTCAAAGAGTAAACTTAAACGGCACATACGAATACATACTGGAGAAAGACCATATAAATGTGATGAATGTAATAAAACTTTCAGTCAAAAAAGTTCTTTGACAGAACACATAAGAATACATACAGGAGAAAAACCATATAAATGTGATGTATGTGATAAAGCATTCAGACTAAAAGGTAATCTGAAATCACACATTAGAATTCATATAACAGAAAAAACATTTTCAGAAAGTCTTTGCAATGGTTCTTTCTGTTCAATGAGCAAAACTAAGCAATTCATGAGAAAACATATTAGTGAAAGACATGTAATGTGATATATAATTATGATTCATTTTGATACATAAAGACCAATAAAGGAACACTAACTGGATAATTCCATTCAAATGTGAGTTGTGCGAAGATACATTAAGGTAGTTAGTACATTTAAACAACACATGAGAATACATACTGGAAAAAATTCATTTATGTATGATTTGTGTGATAGTCGAAAAAGTAATTGTATGACATACGCAATACATTCTTGAGATGTAAGGTGTTAAGATGATTGTATATTCAGTTGTATTGTGTCAATGCACACAATGGGGAATATATATTTGCCGGAGAAAAAAAATATATGTATTTTAAACGATGGAACTTGCAATATGACATTTGAGAATACATGCATACTGATTTTTACATGCGTGATGATTCTTCATGACTAAACATGGTATTGCATTTTTGAATGTCTGTCCATAGATAATTAGTTTCCATATGATAATTTGAAGGATAATTATATTAATGTACAGTAACCTTTTATTTGACTTTTTATTCTTTTTTTGTTTTGGTTCTGTCATGTTAAAGAACTGATTATTAGTTTTTTCCACTCAAAGTTTTTTTTGTTGTATCTAGAGATTAAAAAAAAGACAAAGTTATATCAGAAACTTTTTAAATATTATACTGTGTAAAACAGCAAAATGTAATATACATGTATGAGCATATATATAGTGTAGCTAACTGGTGTTTAGTAAAGTGTTTGGGTGAAATACAATCTGTGAGTAGTTACTACAATATAGCCCTTTCTTTATTTGTTTACTGTCTTGTATTGTTTTGTTTTCCCTCCTTTTTCCTTCATATAGCCCTTTCTTAATTTGTTTATTGTATGCTGATCTTCAAAGTTTTATTACACTAATAAAGGTATGTTGCCGTTTTTTATTCGTTGTTCTTTCGCTCTCTGTCATGCCCTTTTGAATGGCCTTTTGAAATTGTTTCAAGCCACATTTGTCATCTTGTATATTAAGACTATTAAGTAAGAATTTTAAAAATAATACAGCTTTTGTGGGAAAGTTACACTAGATCTGTCCTCATATATGTAGAATATTGTATTGTTCCGCTTTCCCTCCTTTTTCCTTCATATAGCCCTTTCTTAATTTTTTGTTTATTGTTTGCTGATCTTGAAAGTTTCACACTTGAAATTTTATTACACTATTAAAGGAATGTTGCCGTGTTTGTTGTTGGTTTTTTTTCGCTCTCTGTCATGCCCATTTAAATGGCCATTTGAAATTGTTCTATATTTCAAGATATAGTTGTTATCAAGTAACGCAAGAATTTTAAAAATAACACGGGGTATTGTGCGATAGTCACAACAGATTTGTCCAAATATATGTAAAAATGCCCGAAACAAGTTGCTCCGTAATGTAATTGACCAGAATACATGAATATAATTAACAAGAAGTATCATTAAAAAACATACTCGGCCGAAGTAAAACTGGTTAACTTGCATATGTTAGGTCTTAGTTTTCCATGCAAAGTCATATAGAATTTTTAGTATTCCTTGGGTAACAATGAAATATAACAATTTCTTGTAGGGTTGTAAGTCTAGAAAAATGGAACACCTGATTTCAGATGTTTGTGTTTCTAAACAAACATTACGTGTTTCGGTAAGTGAACTCATTTTCTAACACAAACATCAAAACATTCAGTAAGGCAATTATTTTTGTAAATACTTTATTAATATAGGGTTAACGCACGTTTTTCCGTGTTATAACGTCTGCAGAGTCCCGAGGAACGGTTGGCGAGGGCTCCAACAGTTCCGAGGGACTCTGCAGACTTTATAACACGAAATAAACGTGCGTTGACGCTATTATAGCATAAAATTTTCAAACAAATTCGTGATGTATAGTTTATACAAAACACAATTACATTAAATTCTTGTGCTTGGACGGTATTTATCCAATTCTATGTTTTACGTATCCGTTTCATTTTTCCGGGGCCAACAACTTGGAAAATTCTCGGAACCAAACGAAATTTTGAATTTTAATTGATTTAACAAAGCTTGGCCTTTGGAGATTTATTATCTCAAGAAAAAAAATAAAACGTTACGTTACTCTACCCTCTACCCAAGACAAAACATGACCCTCAGAAATTCTTAGAATGATTTCAGATTGACGGTAGAAAAAAGATCAGTGACGTCAGAATCGGGTTTTTTTTCAAGCAAACAAGTTTATAAAAAAATCAGGCACTAAGCATTATTCTCTTAAAGAAATATAATGAGCATTTATCAACATTAACATAAATAAAAAACAGTTTCTCATATTAATTTTGTGTTATCTAGTTTTGTAAGTTAATCGGAGTGTTAAACTGAATGACAGGTATATTCTACTGTATTTGTTTACATTGACAACTGTCTGTTTCTTAGAAAGGGCGACAACCAAGATTAGCACCTATGTCTATACGCCGTTTTTCCGGCATAGTTACTTGAATATGCGACTGAGGCCCTCGAATCAATAAATTTCAATATAACAAGAGCGCATGACTCTTTGGCAAACAGGCCAAATCGTCATTTTTGTTTGTTTGTTTACTGGGCCCTGTATGTATTGCGCATAGATGAAACCGGGCTATAACAAGAGCGCGTGACTATGTTAACACATGGTTTTGGTCCCGTTATAACATGGGCAAAAGAGGGGAAAATAGCCGATTTTATGCTATAATATCCAAAAATGTATACATATTATATATCATCATTTTATCAAATGAACACATCAATAAACATATACATGTAATATATAAGATACTTATTTAGCATCTTAAAGTAAGTGTACCTGATAAGTTCTATTATTCTCATTATTTTTGACAAAATTTAATGTTCAAATCCTGTGTAAAATGAACTCGGTATGTTTCAAAAGCAAAATTTCTAGCTATTTTATCAATAACCGTATATATCGCATGCTTGGTCTTAGTAAGTTTGTGTTTGGAGAAAAAAATGCAGAAAACAAAAAAGCAAAGAGTTCTTTGAATATATCTTAGGAAATTCAAAAAAGAATGATTTATTGATCAAATTTATTGCTTATTTTGAAGTCAAGAAATAAAAAACAATTTTGATTTTAATTACTTATTATTTAAAGGTCAGAGGCACAGGCAAGTATGTATTTTGTCAGAGTAAGAATGTTTGATTATAAAATCAAGGAGGAATAACATACGTTTTGTCCATACATTATTATATAACAATATTCTGTGTATGAGCATTTTTGTGAGTGTTCTATTCACTTTATTCATATACATTTGTATATTGGGATGACTTTTATTCCTGTATCATTATTGTTCCTAGGTAAAACCAGTCATTATCGCGTGGTGGCGTGTAAACTTGAAGTTCTACTTCCGGTTTTAAAATTTTCCTTCCGGTCTTTGAAAACATGGCGTAAATGACTTGTTGATCCGTATTAGATAATCCTTGTGATATAAAGAAATCAACAGCATCCTCGAATTGTGCGGCAAATTTAATTACATAATCTCGTTTACCAAAAAATAAACCTCCGCCTAATAAAACAAGATTTTGTTTCATGATTATTGCTGGACTTCTGTCGAATTTTAGTTTCGAGTTTATAAGATTGAATGCAATTTTTGTGTCATCAAAACTGGGTGGCTTGGACAGGTAAAAATTATTCTCTGATTTCCGGTTTCTGAAGTATCCTATATCAATCCACATGTAATAGGTTGTATTGAAAGTATTCATCTTCGCCGCACGTTCAACCATGTCATACTTGGCATGTTGTGCGCATACGTAAGCAGGTACAACAGTATTCGGATAGTGTTTTGGATACGTACTAGATTCAAATATTTTCTTTATCTTATCGATATTCTGAAACGCCCAGGATGAAGACCTTTTTAAGAGGACTATTTTTGTTGACATCAAAGATTCATTCCTTATAGCCGTCATGTGTAATTTGAAAAATTCAGAATCTGTCAAGATCACCATTGGATTTTTGACGTGTCGAAAAATTCTCGCCCAATTATGATACATATCCCTCGTAAAGTATGTTCCTGATTGTCCTTTCCGAAATGTTCCAAGATCAAAGTATGCCGTTACAACAGTAACATTTGAATTCAATGTTGAGTTTGATTGGTAATGATTCTTCCTAGGGTCAACTTGAACAAGTGTTAACTAAAAATATAGAGTCATTCAAGTAAGTTGGATTCAATTCAACAAACTGTGAGATTTTATTTACAAGTAACCTCAACGAAAGTTTAAAAGTGACTACAAGAATGTGTTTTATTTAAGCAAATTCGAGGAAAGACAAGCACCGATTTAGTCGACATGCTTACAACATGCAGTACATTATGAGAAAAGCATGCAAGTACTTTCTTGAATATCATGCAGATAATATAAATGTTTTTAACGCAATTGAGAAACCGCAATAATTCGATACTTTTCATAGCAAATATATTTATTTTAAGTGCTTCAGTATTTAAAAGTCCTACCAATAGATTGATTATGTGATTAACAGACTGTTTCGCGTATTTAATCTGCCATATACTACAGATTCATGTGATAAACCTCACAATGATGTGTCATAATTATATCGCATGTTCGTATCATTTAACGCAGACTTGTGTCATATAGCGCACATACAATTAATATATATCATACTTTCTTATCATACAACATACGTCCTTGCGCAGCATATAATAGAGAGGATATTTGTTTGTTTTGCATGTAAGATTGAAATATAATTTCACTGAGTGAACACCAGATGCAATATGTTCACGAGTGGCGTAGCCACGAGTGAAAATATAATAGCTGGTGTTCACGAATGAAATATATTTTGAACAATCTTATATGTAAAACAAATAAATTTTCTTTTTGTTTCATGCTTTGTAAGTGATTTTAAGTATTTTACTGATTTTGCCGCGTAACGTCGCGCATTCTCCTTTGTGATGTCATCACATCATGACGTCACACCATCAATTTTGAAATATTGTTCTGTTAAATTTCTCTCATTTTGTTACATTTTTAACATGATGTATGTTGGCATCGACTTTCTTTTCCTAAAGAAGCAAAATTTACGTATGACGGCATTTTTTTCTGCCTGTTATTCCATTTAGTTTAATTTTCTTTTCATCCGCATTCAGATATAGTCCGGCTACAGTGAAAATTATATTTTATAAATTTCACTAGTGGTTTATCAGAATATAATCATCTGATATTTTACAATAAAACACTGGAAAGCATGAAATGAACGTTTATGTCATATGATTTAGCAATATTTATATGTATGTGCCATATATCATAGGTTTGTGTCATAAAACATACATTTACGGGTCAAATATAACGCTCACGTGCATTATTGTACAGAATGGTGTTATACGGTTAACCATCACGTGCAATAAATCATATATTCTTGTCTTATAGAAAACATTCACGTGTCAAAAGCATTCTGTGCCACATACCTTACGTTCATGGCATAGAACACATGTTTTTTACCACATATCATTTGTTAATGTCATAAAACACACGCCCTTAAAATGCAAAATTAATTTATGTATACGTCATGTTTCGTGCAAATATATTGTACTTTGTGCCATATACCATTATTAGGTGACTGCTAAAAATGTTGCCCCTAATACTATGCATACATTTTATTTGTTAAAGCTCTAATTTTGAATTTCCTTAGATTCAAAGGTATTTTAACCCCTTTCGCTGTCCCCTTTCAAAATAAGCAGTCCGAGATTCACACCGATGACTGTGATGATGATAAATTTAAAATACTTTTTTGAAAGTGTCCACATCGCTTCAAGAGCATGAATGGTAAACAAAAGTCAAGTCTGTTAAGTTGTTACGCAGTTGCGCGGGTAAGCCGTGCACAAATGACACTTACATAAAAGTACATGTACAAAAATATGTTCGATATATATATCTATTGCGCGTTAAATTACATAAAACTACAAATAATACATTTATATTTTAGGAACTACCACGCCACATATAAGACACATCGACGGTCTAGTGCTATAAGGACGTAAGTCGTACTTACGCCCTTTTTCATGTTTTTACGCCATTCGAAGCAGAACGTCATCGCGCACCTGCTGACTAAATATCTTAACTCTAGCATTTAATTTGGCTTCAATATCGAAATGAATGATAGGTAGGGCGTAAGTGCATCGAGTCCAAAAGGAAAATTTTATAAGGCGTAACTACACCATATCTACACCGTTCTCAAATTTTAATTAAGAGCCTAAGTTAGTAGTTAGGCCCTTTTAAGACTTTTGATACGTTAGTTCAAACAGATAGTCAGACAGTCACATTTACGCACGTTAGAACTCTATGTCACGAGTCAGGGACATACCTTGACACATTCTAAGGATACGCATTGTAGAAAAAGGGGATCCAAGGTCTATTTCCCGTGGAAAAAAGCTGACAAAAATCATTTGAGTCATCGTCTATGAATTGAATCAAAGTTTAATTACTTTGCATCCGATTGAATAACTGAATCACTAGAAATATTGCATTCAAACAGACGCTTTGCATGTTTCGTAATATAAAGGCCTCTAGTTGTACCTATCTATAGTCAGGTGGATGTGGGAGGAATATCCCCTCCCATAGACCCAGAAATTTTAAAAAAGGAAACAACGATATTGCACTAAATTAATTGTCTGTATAAACATTCAAAATTTTGTAATGTTAAAGAATGTATATTCTACCCCTACAGCTTCATGTGGCAACAAAGAAACCTGATATTTTTAACAACGTGTCTTTTTGCAGTAAAAAAAACTTTAGAAGCTGACAAAATCCACACCGAAATCATTCTGAGATGACAGGAGACATCGTGCATGTCAAGCTTGTAAAATGGCCGAAAAGACCCAGATTACATAAAAGCTAATATTAATAATTAGTTCATTGGAAATCTGTTAATTAAACTTATTTAAATAAAAACGAAGTTTATTGTACATTGGGCTATTGGACAACACTGTGTGACTGGAATAGACAATTGTATTGCGACATGGAGTTCAGACACTTTAATGTTAAATACAGTTGACATTGCCTAGTCATAATGTCGTTGATCTAAAGTTGATTGTTAATTACAATAAAATTTGAATTTGAAACTGTTAGTAGTATAAATAGTGTATTCTTTCAAAGTTTCAAGTGCTTTTAAGCTTGTATTTGGCAGTTTGTATTAAAGTAATTCAAATTCCTGAGTACAATATGTATACATGATATACATGATTCGATGATTATATTTCATGGGTATTCGAAGATTATATTTCATGTGTATCTTATATATCATTCATTCATGCCTCAATATAGAAAAAAAGATTTAAGGTCAATTTAATGAAACACAGTGACTATTCTAAGTCATATAATTATGTAACATTAAAAATCAAGACTTTAGTATTGTTTTATTTATCTGTCATGTAACCTTCACATACAATGTCATAGGTTAAAAGACTAAAGATAGTTTAAAACGGTCACTTATTACAATTCATTATTGTTATAGATACAAACAATTGTATAATTGTATTGATAATTAATGAATACACTAAAATCTAAAAAAGGGCATATATGGTAGTTACGCCCTATTTAGCCAAGTCCGAGTAACAATTTTAAAGAGCGAAACTGCTAGTTACGTCTTTTTAGAATTATTGGCTGATGCACAAAAATGTAAATATTAAAAGGGCATAATACGGATTTTGTGAATTTTTATTATGGTGGTGGGCTATTTTAATTTAAAAGATGTTTTAAAAAAGTCGATATTAGATTTTCTAAGTGTGTCCCAAATTTTACCATGATTGAAAAAGGATCAAAGTCTGCAGACAGTTTTTTTCAATTTCCCGAAACTTGCAAAAATGCATTTACGCCCTTATAGCACTAGACCGTCGACATATGAAACACATGTTTTAAACACTCTTTTTTCTGATCGAGATTCTTTCACGCATGTACTTAATATGTTCCGTATGCGAGGAAATACAGTTGTTTGTATATAAACAATATAAATTAAATTACATATATATCGACAAGGCGGCACACCAACCTTTATTACTTTTACAATGTTATTTAAGTCTATGTAAGTCTGTGTCCTGAAAAAAGCCGTGTTTATACTTACTGTAATACAGTATTGCACCCCGAGAAAATTGAATTATCGAACATACATAAAGCAACAAATAAAAGACCTCTAAACTATTATTAATTATTCATTTTGTATGTAATTCAATACAAAATAATCAAATAATCAATATGTGCAACGTGCAGCAAAACCATAAAAACATTCTTTCACCAAGCATTGCATCTAATGCTGTATTGTATTTTAAAAGCAATAAGAAAGTAACTATACTTTTCAAAAAAATATCGGCACCCTTATTTACGAAAATAAAAGTTTCGACTTTCCTACATCCTATAACACATTTTTCTATTGTTTTAAATCATAAATATGATGCTCAAATTAAGATTTATTATCAGTATTGTAGGTTCCAAAAAGCATTATTTATAAAGATATTACCGAATTTAACATTTTATGTAAATAAAGGGAGGTAGTAAAAAGAATTATTTTCTATAAAGTTCAAGTCAAATTTAACAATAAGAAATGAATGTATATATATATTTTTAATGATTACAAATAATATGCACAAATATTTGCAGTACATATTTTACATATTCTTCGATGTTTGAAAATTGTTTTATTTGCATAATTATGTACATATACGTATATAACTTCACTTAATGTGGTTTACCATTTTGATAACAACATACAGACCGCCTGGAGGAGCCGTGGTCGAGGGGTTAGAGTCGATGACTTTTAATCCAGTTACTTCTCTGGCGTGGGTTCGATCCCCGGGATATGCTTTGGTAGTTTAGCACGGAGGAAATAGTCAAGTACTGGTGTAATTCTCCAGGAACGATGGTTAGGAAAATACCCGCTTATATGACTGAAATACTATTGGGAAAAGGCGTAGAATGAAACAAACAAACACAACATACAGAATCTTTAATCCTATTTTTACGAAATTTTTAACAACAACAGAAATGTATTGACTTAAAAGCGAACAATGCAGACATTGACCAGACGGCACAGAAAACCGCTGATCTTGATATATGGTCTGCACAGGTCGTATTTGTGCATTTATATGGATTAAACTGAAGTTTCTATATTAAATATATAACCATGCATATGTATTGGCGAGTGTAGGACAAAAGCCCTACCGGACAAAAGCTCTCCTGTCCAAAAATGACAAGGCGGACAAAATAATGACTGGGTGGACCCGTAATTAATGACAGGGTGGACAAAAGCCCATTTTCACGGGAGGGCTTTGTAACACCGCATTACGTCCGTACCGCAAAACGTACGTATATGGACGTTTTGTGGCGCATATTGTCCACATTTTTCTGACGTACATTTTGCGGCAAAAATGCATGGTCCTGCCGCATAACGTCCATATCTTAAAGTTTATATAATTTTAGTTAATTTTGACCAGTTATTATCAGCTGTTATTGTGTGTTTATTTTAGCTCGCCTGAGTATGCGTCTGTCTGTTTGTCCGTCCAAATTTAGCTCTAGCATCCCCATACCCTAAGCAATATGTCCAGAGTTATCTGCCCTTGAAATACAACATCTGTTATATTTCACATTGTTACCACTCCAACGCTTTCATTCTTCTTCAATCTTGACAATTACTAACAGAATATCTATGACAATAAAATCTCAACAAAGTTAGATTATAGGCTAAATCTAACCCCCCCCCCCCCCAAAAAAAAAAAAAACGCACTATATTTCACCTTGTTAGTGTTTTCGTTTCTCCTCCATTCTTAAAAAAAATATACAGAATATGTATAACAATAAGGTCTCGATAAGTTCATTTATGACCTAAACGACTGAATATATGTCAAGAGTTATTTGCCTTTGAATAATGAAAATAAAGACATATTTTAAAGTCGAATAATTGACTTGAAATAAAACAGCCATTTCTTTCTTATCAATGATCAGATGTAATTCATACATTTATGACAGGACGGACATCTTGAATAGTTCAACTATAATATTGACCTTGAAATGACCTTGACCTCAAGGTCACTATTGAATTTTGCCTAAATTACCAGATCTTTGTCATTTACAGATATTTAGATATTGATGACCATTTCAGACGTAGAATTGAATTCTGATATCAGTTACCCATATTCTGACCAAGAACATGAAATGTACTTGCTTTTTATTAGTAATATTCAATGCTATCTGTCCTTGTCATGTGGGGCCTTTATAGGCAGGTGGGCAATATAAGGCCACCATGAACTTTTTTTCTTTGTTCAGTTATAAAATAACATTGTTCAATAATAAAATTAGCTCTCAAGCTCAAATATGATTACACTGTCAAAAGCCCCCATCCATCCGTAAAAATGAACGGTAGAACCAAACCTCCATAGTCAACAAAGATACAAAAAATCATTCCCACTTCTTGATGCAATTATATGAAAAGCTTTTGTCAAAAGCAAAGCTTAATTTTAATATTTTTTGTTATTCACTCAGTTCAATCCCCGGTTCGTCCGTATCTATAGCCGTCATTTTCTGTATGTCTATAAGATTACATTTATTTCAATATCATCTTTTTTATATCTTTGATGCTGCTGCTTGGTTCCATTCCATAAAAATCTATTCGAAAAACATCCTCGGCTTAAGCATATTTCTTTTTTTTAAAATAAAAAATGTCTGAATTATATAGTATCACAAAAATATTACGCTTCAATGATTATTTCGTTATATCTTTACCTGAAACAATATGAAAGTGACAGAACCAATAAAAGTAACGTTTATAATGAATTGATTTTAATACAAAAAATATGGACGATATGCTACGCAAAGACACACTTTCGCCACAAAATGTACCGAGTACGATATGCACCGCAAAACGTCCACATGATTGTGTACGATATGCGACGCAAAACGTCCACACGCGTACGTTTTGCGGTACGGACGTTTTGCGGGGTTTTGTCCGCCTTGTCATTTTTGGACGGGAGGGCTTTTGCCCGGAGGGCTTTTGTCCGTTTCCCTGTATTGGCATATGTATTGGAGATATTCGTGCAAATATTGCATTGTTATTTTTTATACTTAACCGGCATACTTTGTACATTTTCACCCTATATGTATTGTTCAAAGATATTAATTAAGATTTGTTTTACACTTTGTTCAACTCTGTAAACTCTAAACCTTGTGTGTAACAGGTACTACTCTTTTTTGGTTTGCCAATAACGATGATAACCATCGGCAAAACATCGGCATTATGTTACAATCCAGCCGATTGCACCGATGACATTTGACATTAATACGTCTACAAGATTGTATTGTCCTTTGATCAAACAATGCTTGATGCGGAACATTTGTATATTAGGTTTTTTGGTATTTCTATACCATTTGAATTAAAATTAGTTAAACATTATTTAATGATACAAAGACAAAGATGAGCTTTTTAAATTGTAAATTGATTTCTAATAAATGTACATGTATATACATACTAAGTAAGTAAGTTAGTAAGTAAATTGTTTATTATCGTGACATGTGCATTAACATATATTAATTACAAATATGCATATCATAATTATAAGTAAACATAAAACTAGGCACCCGGCCCGATGGGACTATATGTCACCATGGCAAATGATATTCATTATAACATGCTATAAAATATGAAATACATTCATGAAAGTTCTTAAGATGATATGACGGTTTACATGTACTTCACAATTAGAATAAATAATTTGAACAGTCATATCTTAAAGTCCTCAAGATTCATGAATACATAACAGATCTTCTAGAAAGGTAAGCTTTCACAATATATTTAGCTGTTTTCCTAGGATGAATATTTAGTCAAAAGGCAAGTATATCATCAGATGACAAACTTGTATAAGCAGTTTGCAAAATTATATCACTGTACACATTTTGTCTTATTACATCATAGGGTTCGCAGCTTAGCAAAAAAATGTTTCTCATCTTCAACAGTGTTTAAATTACAAAATTTACACAGTCTAGTTTCAACAGGTTCACCTATATATCGTCCAGTCTCTACTCTTACAGTAATATACCGCAACTGAATTGACTTAAAAGTGATTGTTTATATTTTCTAAGGTTAAGTTTCACGTACTCTTCACAACCAAATTCAGTTTTGTATAATCTGTATGTCCTTAATTTTGGTACTGTTTGAATATCACGTGACCATTTAAAACTGTAATAGTCCCGTATTTTATTATTTGCTTCGAAGAGGTTCATACTAAATGTACATGTATATATACATACTAAATGTACATGTATATACATACTAGATGTACATGTATATACATTAAGAGGAAATGACGTCAAATTCTGATGATAATAGCATTGAAAAGAGACTTGAATATTTTAAACAGTGTACATGTATGTATGTAAATATAAACTTAAGTTAGGATATCTGTTCTACTCCTTTATGTTTCCACATTCTCTGTTAAAACCTTTTGTTTTATGACGTTAATTTTTGATACATTTCACTTTAGAAAGAATTTCAGATGGACGTTTTTATTTACCTAATATACATAAACAATGCATGAACGCATAGATGGCTGAACAAATTTGATTCTTTTGATTAGTTTTGGTTGAATGTTGTATTAGTCCAAAAGCGTTTGATTAAATTGTTAGTCACGCGATCAATTCTATAAATCGAGCATACCAGGTTGGCTTTGTTTTTTATGTCCTCAACACGTAAAGTAATTAATGTCAGAGAGTTCTTCATCTCGTCTGATTAAAATATAATTACTTTAAGGCCAATGGAAGCGTATTATAAGGGGTTTTAAGGTGATTTTCTTTCATCCGCTTTAAAATAGAATTTTTGTTCATACGTTATAAATCCACAAACAGAACACTTCTTAGAATACACACTTCATATATTTTGCATTTTGTAAATACTTCAAAAGTGTTAAACAATGTAACGTAACAATTCTTTTTTGTAACAGTATTCTCACGAGTGGCGTAGCCACAAGTGAGAATACTGTTTTTAAAGTTCACGAGATGAAATAAAATTACATCTTACACAACAAACAGACAAATTTTCTTTTTATTTTATGCTTCGAAGAGGTTCATACTAAATGTACATGTATATATAAATACTAAATGTACATGCATATACATACTAGATGTACATGTATATACATTAAGAGGAAATGACGTCAAATTCTGATGATAATAGCATTGAAAAGAGACTTGAATATTTTAAACAGTGTACATGTATGTATGTAAATATAAACTTAAGTTAGGATATCTGTTCTACTCCTTTATGTTTCCACATTCTCTGTTAAAACCTTTTGTTTTATGACGTTAATTTTTGATACATTTCACTTTAGAAAGAATTTCAGATGGACGTTTTTATTTACCTAATATACATAAACAATGCATGAACGCATAGATGGCTGAACAAATTTGATTCTTTTGATTAGTTTTGGTTGAATGTTGTATTAGTCCAAAAGCGTTTGATTAAATTGTTAGTCACGCGATCAATTCTATAAATCGAGCATACCAGGTTGGCTTTGTTTTTTATGTCCTCAACACGTAAAGTAATTAATGTCAGAGAGTTCTTCATCTCGTCTGATTAAAATATAATTACTTTAAGGCCAATGGAAGCGTATTATAAGGGGTTTTAAGGTGATTTTCTTTCATCCGCTTTAAAATAGAATTTTTGTTCATACGTTATAAATCCACAAACAGAACACTTCTTAGAATACACACTTCATATATTTTGCATTTTGTAAATACTTCAAAAGTGTTAAACAATGTAACGTAACAATTCTTTTTTGATCCTGTAATGTTAACCGAATATTTATTTTATATAGCCTGACAAGTTAAATGAACAATGATTTCTTTATATTGAAGAAGTTTGATTTTTAAAAACATAGTTTGTAATGAATTTGTTAGGAATAAAAGGAATAAATCACTTGACGCAATTGAGTAACAGAAATGAAATTACTGAAGAACGGTTTTGTGTTTTTTCTACACGTTGTATTTATCACTTTCGCGCATGTTAATGGTAAACTTTGGAATGCTTATCGGTCTGCTTAATGAAACAATATACAAAAACCACTATTACAATAATGGTACCAGTCTCCATTGACATTGTACCTATTGTCAACCAAAGCAATCCGAATGACGGTGCAAATGGGGGCTCGCTTTGAAGAGCTCGCTGAACGGGTTTTGATGCCGTCCTTTGGTCAAATTGACATTAGCGGCAGTATGAAAGCTACAATGGACCGATGAAGTCATTTTTACCACTTACACCTCCCTTGCCGGAAATTCGCTGGATGCCATTCTCATTGATTACGACAAGGCCTGGTCCCCGTCATTAGTGCTTGTCAACGCGGTTGATACGGTTAAAAATATAGGAGATACAACTTACAAACTGATGTACAACCCTGATGACCAAACGGTAAAATGGGAACCAAGAATTTTGCTCCGTGGTTCGTGTACTCCGGATGTTACGTATTACCCTTTTGATAGGCAAGTGTGTGACTTTACATACACGGCATGGGGCTACATGTCCGAAGAAATCCGCCTGCAAATTATGACGACAGAATGGGATATGTCGTAAGTAATTTTACACACTCATCTTAATGTTGTATAAGTCATACCCGAATCAACTGTCAAGGGAATACACGATTTATAAAAACTTTTCAACGGATTACTCATCAATGTATGAGTAAACTTTAAATTCGATGATTATCAAAATAGGATTTCCCCCATTCTATCAAAATAAAAATACAGCTTTCAAAAAACCGATCAAACATTATATCTGACATCTGAGATATACTCGGGGACTTTATTTTATATCAAACTATTAACTTTGATTGGTTGATTGATTGATTGATTGATTGATTGGTCAATCAATCAAATTACTTATTTATTTATTTATTCTATCACTTTATCATAGTCATCGATAATTTTAGCACTTTAATTATCATGATGATTTTTTATTATCATTATACTAATTATGACAGTTAAGCGTCCATAAGATAAGTTTAATCCAAGTTTCTAAACATTCCGATTTGTTTCTACAGTGACTACGAGAAGAACGGTGTATGGAAGGTCATCTCAACAAACTCGGAAATCTACCAGTATGGAGGGTCTGATTACGTCAAATTTGAGATTACAATTCAAAGACAACCTCTGTACTTCACCTTCAATATCGGACTTCCCATTTTATTACTGTTAAACGGTTTTGTCTTCTTGCTACCGGCCGAGAGCGGGGAACGAATTGGTATGTTCACACGCATGCGCAATGCCTTTTTTTCTTTTTTACAGTATTTGTCAAAGAAGTGAGATTCTAACCCAGAACAAAAAATATCCGAGAATCTGGCTTTGAGACGTCAATATTTTTTGACTAACATTTCTCCGTATTCAGCATTGTACAAAATATAACCTAACAACGTTTATTGAAGAAAAAAACAACGTTTCTTGTGACTGGAACACAAATATTGTTTGCATGTATTTCTTTTGACTCTGTTAATAATTTTGTATGATAGTTATAAGTTTAATCGGTATGGTTATATTACAAAATGACGTCTATTTTTAGGATTCTGTATCACGTGTTTCCTGTCGTTCGTGGTCCTGATGCAGACGACAATGCAGTTTCTGCCTCAGATCGCGAGCCCGATGTCACTGCTGTGTGTCTACGTTTTCTTGATGATGTGTTTCAGCGTATTCATCAATATTGTCACTGTGCTAATGTTGAGGATCTACCACAAACCAGAAAAGGAGAAGGTACGTCATTATGACGTCTATATCACGTGACTTTTTGAGATTTGCGTGGGGGTAGAAAACCAATACAAATGACGGTCAAGGTTATATTTTCTTCCGTAACTTTTTTACTTTTTCATTATTTTTGGGGGATAAAGGGTAGAGCCCGCTTATTTCTATTATTTATCCATTAAAAGTATCATTTGTAGACAAAATCTGTATTTTTTGTGAAAGTAAAACCGCGTTAGATTCTGAAAGTTCAAAAATGCAGTTTCACGGCACGGAAATAGATAGGGATTTCTTTGTATTCTTTACTCGCTTGTATGTTTTTTTTTTACTATGAAATATAGGGTGAAAAATATGATAGAAAAATACTGCCTGGGCAGTCTTGAATTTGATGTCCTACACCACTGCAAATCATAAAAAAGCACTTAGTGTAGGCATCGTTGTCACATGTCACGTCTTAATGTTAGGTATGGACTTTTGCCAGCTGCTTAATTTTCTATAAAGGGGTTTCTATAAAAGGGGGTTGGTGCAAACCCGATTATCGCTTAAGGTGACAACGGAGTCAATTATCACTGAAAATACCTAAAATGAGATTTTTTGCTAAGTAGATTTATCAACCTTTTCTGAACACATTCGTGATTTAATTTTGGAAGCAGTTAGTCCAAAAAATGTGTTTTTAAACGTTTTAAAACGGAACCTATACTATTTGTATCTGCTATTCGCGTAACCTGTCGATTATCGATAACGCTCCGCCCCCTGTTGAGGCATCAATGAGGGAAATCGGTAGTTCCATATATCCGTGAATTACAGGTCCATACTGGTCCATACTTCTCGTAATACATGTATCGTACAACTAACGTACATCTTTTATGAATATCTCAACATTTAGCCTTTTTTATAAATTAAGAAATTGTCGGCCACTGTACGTAACATAATGTATGAAACATAAATAATTAAGCATAGCGGTAAATCGCACGACCACGGGGTTGATTAAAAATGTAGTTGCTAAAATATCCATAATGTGTGAAAATAATTTGTCTGTCCCGTTAATCTGATAGATATTACGTTGAGTTGATAGACTTTTGTACGGATTCAAGGGCTTACTTTACATTCAACCTCGTTTTCTAACAATGTCAAGTAAAACAACAACAAAACAGACAACATTTTTTTTTATGTGAACTCCTATGTGACTTGTGGTAAGGTGTCCCTGACAAATTTCTAAACCATTTTAGATTGTCTAAGGATGATTATTTCTCTATAAATAAAAAAAAGATATTAAAATATATTCTCAGTGAAAATAAATTGTTCGCCTGTAAATCGGACACAGTACTAATAAATCTGGGACAAAGTATGAAATTTATTGTCTATCCCGGTAGAAACTGGATCTCTATGCCGTGCATAGATGATATTCATAATAGAAGTCAAGAAGGCCAGATCATAATGATCGAGTAATACCTTTTATTTCTATTAAAATATGTGAAGCATTATCAATTTGGTGGAAAAAATATATAATATCCCGTTCTTATTTGTACATCTACCATGGACTTTAAAAGACTGTCAGAAGCTTAGTTTTTTGTTATTTTATTTTATATTTTAACGGAATTTCATACACGAATACACAGGCAGAGTGACACTGGTATAATACATTAATAATAAACTTCAAATAGGAAACAATTAAATACCCCGCTAGCGGTGCGCAAATGCGTTCCATTTCCCCCCACTGAGTGCCTCAAATTTTACCGATAGTCACGTGACATGTGCGACAGATACCAGACGAACAGTAAATCACGTTAAGAATTGAAGAAATTTCGGCTATAAACTGATATTAATCAGCAGCTTTTTAATTGGTCAGATGTCACTGGGTCATAAAATGTTGTTAGAGTATGTTACCGCAACTTGTGACCCTCTCTGGTGCGATATTTGTGTATTATGCAATTATTTAGCGTGAAATGTAGGGGTCCGAGAGAGAACAGCCGATTTATGACACTTCGTTTGATGCTGGTCGGACTAACTTTGAATCGGCATAACTTTTTTAATAATCAAGCAATTAACATGCGGTTTAAAGCACATGAAAGGAAATTCATTTACGGAGGGAACCGTGTCAGGGATTTTTGTTTGCTCAATAGGCGACTTAATTATCTTTAATTACGTAATATGTATGGTGAAAAAAGTCGCATAAAATGTTTGACGTTACGTAATATTTTTTTGAGAAAAGAAAGAAAAAATTTGAGACACGGTTCCCTGGATAATATAAGTATGGTTATTTTCCAAAAGTTTGATGACAAAAAATTAAAAAATGACTTTGATATGACGATTTAAAATTTTAGGATTTTTATTCAAAATCAAACATTTACAAAGGCATTTTTTTCAAATATGTTATTTTTTATGATGATCAACGACATTTAATGCACAAAGATTAAATAAATAACAATTATTACTAAAATAACTTTGTTTAAATGACATTTATGTGAGTACCACGGAAAGTGTCTGTTGTCACCTTAAGGTACTAAAATATAAGATGTTTTAATCTGTTTTTCTACTATAGTCGTGCATAAGCTTGCAGGTGCATTGTGGGATTTTATTTTTACCTGATTTTCTTCCATTTATAATTGATATTTTTGTTCAAAATTAAATGGAATAACTTAGATTAAAATTGTAAAGAATTGGATAGGTTTATGCAAGGATTGAAAATCGTTTGGACTTAATAACTATGTTGTAGACGTGTATATTTACACAAAGGTGCTTTTTTCTGTGTCTACCATTTAGTGTCAGTTGTCGTCTGCCATTAAATTTTAATGATTTCATTTCCTTATTTTTGACTTAGGATAAATGTTATGTGTGTATTGAAATGTTCTGGATAAAAAACTTATTTCAGCACGTGATTCTTTTTAATTAAATAATTCGTCCTGGTTTACAACCTTTATCTTTAAGATTTGTCTGCGTATATATGTACATGTATATACAAAATTCCATTCATAAATCTGTTTCTGAGAATGTGTTGTTGAGAAAAATGGGAAAACACAATGCAAAGTTTTCTGGTTTGTTGTTGTTGTTTTTTTTTTGCAACATTTGCACTTTTTAAATTATTTTTATACTTTTCTATGTACACAGGTACCGAAATGGATGCAGAGGTTTACACAAATTATCAGATGTCAAATCTGCAGATGTAAGGACCGTGATAAACCCCAGAACGAAGTGGACTGGCCCTCGGTCGCTCGCCTGCTGGACACGTTTTCTTCATAGCATTCATCGCTGCGCAGTGCGCACTCACGTTCTTCTTCCTAATACCGCTGGGAACGCAGTGATTGATCTGATGTGATCTTATTTTTTTGGACATTCAGTTTACCTGCACCAGCATTTACAACAAACCTATTCCTTACACTTTAGCATTTGTCTGTTAAATATTTTTTATTTGTCTGTCTTTCTTTGCTTATGAAAATCATTTGACCACATATGTATTGCTAAGAGGTTATTATATCACAAAACCCGTATTGACCCTAGCCAAGAATTAAAAGATCAAGAGGTCGCGCCGTCATATAACGCATGTGTATGTTACTTTGATATAAATGCATGAAACTGAACCCGCATAGTTATCATAAAAACATTTAATAATATTAAGAGGATATTTTTTCGTTTGAGTGAAATATGGAATATATTTTCACGAAACATGATAAAATGCCACATATTTTCACAAGCCGGGACGGCAAGTGAAAATATGAAGCATTTTATCATGTTGAGTGAAAATATATACCATATTTCACGAAAAACGAAAAAATAACCTTTTTATTTAATTTCATTATCAAAGAGAAATGGTTATGAACCTCCTTGCCTGCTACGCAACTGCAATTATACAGCGCGGAGCAATATAAGTATCGTCTTGTTTTGCACGCGATATTTAGCGCTAGATTGTGACGTCACGTAAAAAACATTTTAAACGTCTGTACAGCGTTAATGACTGAATGAAAGATATTGGTGTTCGGATTTATTTTCTTAGTTAGACCATTTTCTATTATTCTAGATAGTTATCAAAACAAAATTCAACAAAAAAGTTGTTTGTATTTATAAGATTTTTCAAACAAAATGGCGAAAGAAGTCCCTTAAAATAAATATGAGTTTTGACTCCGCCCACTTTCATATTTATATTTCATATTTATTTTTAAAAAAATATGAAATATATTTGACTGATATAGCACCATATTTCATGGGTAAAATTAAATAAAAACTTTTATTTTATTTGTTTACAGATTTTAAAGCCCTACAGGAATACAATTTATATTTCCCAAAAGTATTTTATTTTTGGTGTTCTAATACGGTTTCCAAAACTGTACTCATTGGGAATATTGTGGAAATATGTGTGGCTTTTTGCTGACCATAAGTTAACTTATAGTGATTAAGTATTTAAAAAAGAGAGAATCGTATGAAAATACCTGTTTGTTCATCAACGTGTGGCTTCTTTTATCACAAATTATTTCACATTCGACGCTGTTTACTTTATGTAATAAGCATGTAATATGTTACATGAAAAATACATAATATATCAATATATATTATTCAGAGGAGATAATTATTTATTTCGTACCTTTTACTATAAAGATGATAGCAGGTTTAATTCAGCAACATTTTCTTTTCTTCCCTATCATCTTTTATATTTTGTAATCAATGTTAAATAGTTCATCTATTGGAAATTATTTAGAAAGATAAACTAATATTTACTAGAAACAGGCGGATATTTGATTCCATATCACCGACAAACCAATACAAATATCTTGATACCAAAGTTTTTACTGATGTTGAACAATAAACTCTTAAATTCTGGAAACTGTGGAGTATAACTTAATATTAATTCTACTATAAGAAAGAAATTAGTTAAAGCCTTCTAGCCGAAACGTATCTCCCTTTAAGTGGGCGTAATTACTGCACTAAAATTTAGAACTTATATGACCATTTAAATGACGATGCATTTATTTTCATATTAGTTGATATAATTACGTTAATGCGCCATATTTAAAATTACTGATGTCGCGTCAACTTTCAAATATAAGAACTTTTTAAATAAATATCAGACTCTGAGGGTAAACATTCATAAATCTTAATTAACATTAATTATTCAAAATGTCAATAATGTTGGATATTTTATTGTCATTCAACGGTCAATTCAAAATTAGTAACAAAAAGTGTGGGGTTATGTCCACTTTTTCCACTCTATAAAATTGATATGTGGGGTTTTTGTCCACTCTATAAAAATTGAGGTGTGGGGTTTTGACGTGTGGGGTTTTGTCTGTCTCCCGCTACTGTTACGTGTTATTTCTTCTCGTGACAAATTTTAGGGCACATGGCATATTTCACTGTGTACGGCCAACGATTGGCGAAATTATCTCATTGGTAAATTGCTCATATAATTCTATTACGATGGCAAGGGTTAAAAAGCTTCTTCCCCAAACAATCCTCCCCTCCCCCTCTCACCGCACACACAAACGTGCGCGCGCACAAAGTGTTCATGTACTTGAGAAAATACTAATACAAAAGCTACCATTTTTCATGTTTTATAGAAAAATCAAGTACATCTAGTACGATTTACTACCAAAAATTCATCTCACAAAAACAGTATAACTTAGTGCCTATATATCTTAAATTAGGGTAATAATCAGTTTAACTCATATGATTAATAAAATTCGTCCGAATTTTCATTTACATGTAGATCTATACTTTTTCTCCTAATAATCGGTAGATTCATGCATTGACCATTTACTTTTGCCCAACGATTTTAGTGACATTATGCATAATCGTTTGAAATATATAATAATGATAATAATAATAATAATAATAAATAATAATAATAATGATTATAATAATACTAATAAAAATAAAAACAATATTGATTAAATAATAATAATAATAATAATAATAATAATAATAATAATAATAATAATAATAATAATAATAATAATAATGATAATAATAATAATATTATGATGATGGTGGTGGTGGTGATGATGATGATGATGATGATGATAATAATGATAATAATAATAATAATAATAATAATAATAATAATAATAATAATAATAATTATTATTATTATTATTATTATAAGAAGAAGAAGAAGAATGAAAAATTATTGAAAATCTGACTTTAATATATGCAATAAAAATGATGATGATGACGATGATGGTGGTGGCGGTGATGATGATGATGATAATAATAATAATAATGCTAATAATACTAGTAATAATAATAACATGGAGATAATAAAAATAATGATAAGAAAATAATAATAATAATCATAATAATATTTAGATAGATAGATCCATACTATGATATTTTATTTTGATTGATATTGATCCCTACTCTGACCTTTTATTTAAGAAAACAACAGACTTAATAATAGGCATTGACATATATTATTTTGTTGATAAATAGATTGTGGCGAAGTTCTTATTGTTATGCACTAATTTGACAATGCAATTGAGATAGCTTATGGCGCATGTCGGGCTAATGAATAGACTACTTCCATGTGTCAAAATAAAGTGTCAGGAATTAACAAATTAAAATAATTACATATATCCGGTAAGCATTTTCACATGTCCTTTTGTTTTAGTAACTGCGTGTTCTATAAAACACCAATTTCTAAGTACTTTGACATTATATTAAAATAGATGCATGATATGATACACAATAAGAACGAATTTATATCTCAATTGTTTGTGAGTAAAAGTAACAAGAAGAAACAAATTTCATTCGAAAGTTTACAGAACACGGGTAAATATATATTATTATATGTAATTACGTTTAAACGATAAATTGAACACTGTTTTTAAGTCATAAATTATTTTTGCATTGATATTTAAATTCAACTTTTTCCCCAAAGAAAAAAAATCTTAATTTCTTCATTTAACAGTCTTTAATTCTTTGTACTTTATCACATTGTAGTGTATTTTAACAGACATATTAATATTACAATTCTCCGATAATCCTTTATGTAAAATAGGAACGTCATCAGTATAAAAATAATCATTCGAAATATGGAGTTAGTTTTGACATTTACATTCCAATAATTGAAAGCTGGTACCATACTTAAAATTTCAGTAACAATACTGGACATACAAAGGGGATAAAAATTTACTTGTTTATCTTATAGGATTCAAGAGCTGTATTGTCTAACAGAAACATGAACAGCAGTACAGAAAAAAAGCAGTTATCAAAATGTGATGTCTGCGAGTACAAAACTGCAAATAGAACACACTTAATTAGGCACACGAAAATGCATACTGGTGGTAAGTTAATTCAATGCGATATTTGTTATGAACTGTTCTCACAAAACAATTTTCTTAAAATGCATATGGCAATACACACAGGAGAGAAGAATTATAAATGCGAGCAATGTGACAAAGCATTTGCAGGTAAATGGAATCTTATAACTCATATGACAGTACACACAGGAGAGAAGAAATATAAATGTGAAGTATGTGACAAAGCATTTGCTCAAAAATGTTCTCTAAAATCACATATGGCAGTACACACAGGTGAGAAGAAATATCAATGTGAAATATGTGACAAAGCATTTTCACAAAAGAGTAATCTAAAAGCTCATATAAAATTACATTCAGGAGAGAAGAAATATAAATGTGAAATATGTGACAAAGCATTTGCAAAAAAAAGTTATCTTAAAAGGCATATGACAGTACACACAGGAGTAAAGAAATTTAAATGTGAAATATGTGACAAAGCATTTGCAGTTATAAGGAATCTTATAAGTCATATGACAGTACACACAGGAGAGAAGAAATATAAATGTGAAAGTTGCGACAAATCATTTGCAGATAAAAGTTACCTTAAAAATCATATGACAGTGCACACAGGAGAGAAGAATTATAAATGTGAAATATGTGACAGAGCATTTGCTCGCAAGGCCGATCTGAAAGCACATATGACAGTACACACAGGAGAGAAGAATCATAAATGTGAAATATGTGACAAAGCATTTGCTCACAATGTCAGTCTGAAATCACATATGACAGTACACACAGGAGAGAAGAATCATAAATGTGAAATATGTGACAAAACATTTGCTCAAAAAGGTATTCTAAAATCACATATGGCAGTACACACAGGAGTGAAAAATTATCAATGTGAAATATGTGACAAAGCATTTGCACAAAAGAGTAATCTAAAAACTCATATAGAAGTACATTCAGGAGAGAAGAAATATAAATGCGAAATATTTGACAAAGCGTTTGCTCATAAATGTACTCTTAAATCTCATAAAGAAGCACATTCAGGACAGAAAAAAACAGAAGAAACATAAATGCGACATATGTGACAAAGCGTTTGCTCATAAATGTACTCTAAAATCTCATATAGAAGCACATTCAGGGCAGAAAAATTATATATGTGGAATATGTGACAAAGCATTTGCTCGAATG